AGAAAGGCGGGTGAGGACCCGGATGCTGAACCGGATCGTGTATGAAGTTTCGACCCCCCTCTCGAGGCGGGGAGGAGGAGGAAGAGGTGACCAAGTAGGGCGGAGGAGGGTTTCTGAACTGGAGGCTGCAGAAACCAGCCTGATCCCCCCCCGCCGGTGCTGCGCGAGCGCGGCAGGCATTTGATGCTCTCTGCTTGCCCGGAGTCTGAGTGGAAGGGTTCGCTCTGCGCCTCACATTTGCATGTCTCTGTTTATCCATGCTGAAACCAAACCCTGCCCTTAAGAAAAGAAGAAGAAAAAAACCTTGCTTGGGATTTTCACTTTCTGCATGCCAGTCTGTGCCCTGGTTTCATCACGAGCACTGCTCGCTCACCATGTGGAAATCCTGGTATGGCCTCCGCCTTCGCAGACCCACGCCTAGCGAGACAGACAGCGTTAAGCAAAACACGCACAATGATTGTGAAATTGCAAAGTCGTAGTGCTACAAAGGAGAATCGTGGTGATAGGAGGTGAAAGAGGGCATTTGTTTTAGGGCTTAGGGAGGTAAAGGCTTTGCGAGCAAGCGAAGGTGGCGCTGAGAGCTGAAGGGCTATCAGGAGTTAACTCAGGGGAGAGAAAAGTGAAGGATATTCTAGACAAAAAGAGTGAATTGTTAGAAAGCCTTGTGTCAGGGGGAAGCTTTTCCAGTATAAACGGAGGCCGGAGAGGTGAGGGGAAGCTGCCGAACTCCACAGGCTCTGGAAGGAGTTTTCTTCTTGTCCTGAGAGCAGTGGGATATCTTCGAAGGATTCTTGATCGGAAGGGAGAGAGGAACAGATTTGAATTTCGCAAAGATCCCTGGCTAAAGAGTAGAGTAGAGGACCGTGGATTAGAGAGGCAAACGCAGGAAGCCCAGCGAGATGGCTGTTGCAGTAGCAGTTCACTTAGTGGGAAATGTATTGTTTGTATTAATATAATTGATCCACACTTTGAACAAATTTCTGACAGTTTTTCAGTTTTGAAAGTGAGTAGTTTAAGACTCTCACTGAAACATTCTGTAATTGTTCACCCTAGAAGTAAATTAGTAGAGTTCATGTTACACACACTAATGTCTTTTTACGTTTAAGTCTATCTAGTACATGATAGCTGAAATTTCCAGCTGTGATAAATTGAGAGACCTTTGAGTAAAAAAAGGAAAGAAAAACAAGGAAGAAGGCTGCTGCATGCCATCATTTTCTTGACTCCCTTAGATCTTAAAAAGACACAAGACAAATTTGTTTTTGATATCTAGAAAAATTGAAGTTCCTATGTTTTCCTGCCACTGAGAATACTTGTTTATAAACATCCTCTGGGAAATGTCAGTTAAGGAACATTACTGAATTATTTGTTTCGTGAATATTCTTTAACTCTGAGTGAGCAAAGGAAACAATTTTTTAAAATGCATACTAGTATTTTTTTTTTTTTTGAGTTGGAAGTCTCATTCGGTCGCCCAGACTGGAGTGCAGTGGCCGCTCCCGCAGGCGCGTGTTATCATGCCCTGCTAATTATTTGATTTATTGTAGAGATGAAGTCTCACTGCCCAGGCGGGTCTCGAACCCGCGGGCTCAGGCAATCCACTCACCTCAGCCTCCCAAAGGCGCGGGATTACAGGCTGAGCCACCAAGCCCGGCTACATACTAGTATTTTAAATTGAAAATTAACATCAGCCATAAAGCTCTAAGAATTTAAACAAACATTCGCTGATTTCTGTGCTACAGAGTACACCTGTTAGTGATCCAGTCACAAAAGGGAATTGTGAAAGTAAGCCTCACTGGCCTTTTTTTTTTCTTTTGGCTTATTTCACCAAGAAAAAAAATCATTAACTTTTAAGTTAAGTCAATGTATTGTGTGGCTGTGAAAAATGATACAAGTATGATTTTTGCTAAACCTAGTTGAGAAGAGATGGCAACACACTGATTTAAATAAATAAGTATATAAGAGATGCTTTTTTAATTCTACCTTTAATGATGCTCAGTAGTGATCTTTTACCTAAGTCATTATTCTTCCTGCTCTACATCTTTTTTTCTTTAATTCCTAAGACAAAAGAATAAGAGATCGCCGGGCTCGATGGCTCAGCCTGTAATCCCATCCTTTGGTAGGCTGAGGTAAGTGGATTACCTGAGCCCGTGGGTTTGAGACCCGCCTGGGCAACTTGGCGAGACCTCATCTCTACAGTAAATCAAAAAATTAACCGGGCATGGTAGCGCGCACCTATAGTTCCGGCTACTTGGAAGGCTGAGCAGAAGGATCGCCGGAACCCAGCAGGTCGAGGCTGCAGTGGCCGCTCCTGTCTGGGCAAGAATGAGACTTCAACTCAAAAAAAAAAAAGAAAGAAAAGAATAAGAGCTCAAACAGTATAGGTAATGGGTTACTGTTAATAAATTACTATTTCGATTATTTCAGGGCTTTTCTTGTGATGTATTTAGTATTACCTTGCTGGTCAAGGTAAATGTAGATATTGTTCATATGGAATGCTTGAACTCCTGTTTTTAAAATGATTTCCATTGGTAGACTGCAGATTTTTGATTGTATAATCATCAAGAACAGACTACCAAAAAACCCACTTTTCAATCCTACAGAGTAAATGAACTATGTACCAGTTTCATGCTTTAATTTTCCTTTGCATTCTGCCTTCAATAAAGAGTTAGGCTAATGGAACTTGTGTTTTTGCTTATTATTACACAAACATGAATATTTCCTTAGCATTAAAGGGCAAAGATATTCTTTAGCTGGGCATTTTAATCTGAGGTGCGTATAAAGGATTCAGGGACTACATGATACCTAGGAAGTTACATGTAGGCCTTTGTGGCTATGCATGTATTTACAGCCACATATGCACAGCATTTCACATAACCATAAACACGTAGTCTTTTTTTTTTTTAGACGATTCATAGCTTTACCATATTCTTGGAAGGTGTCTTTGACCCGTGAGATAGTTTACATTATGTGGAAGCATCAAAGCACTTGGAATCTGTAGGCATTATTGTAATCTTGTGTGAGTTATTACTTCAGCCATCCATTATCACATGCCTACCAAGAGCCTAAAAATGCATACATAATGTAGAAGTTTTATTCTTTCCTCTTATTGCCATGTTACACATCTCAGTCCATAGCAGAATAAGTAAATGACAGAGACTATGTGGTTCAAACCTTTTTACCCTTCCATTGCTTGTCTCCTACAAAACAGAGCTATTAAATATCCAATTGTCACTAGGTTGGGTAGTCTAGACACTACTGAGCTCTTTGCATAATGGTGAAGTCAGGACTTAGGATATCTGTCACCCAAATAACGTACATCATACCCACTAAGTAATCTCTTATTATCCACCTCCCTCCCACCTTACCCTTCACAGTTTCCATTTTCTATCATTCTACACTCTATATTCACGTAGACACGTTATTTGTATCCCACCTACAAGTGAGACTATGCACTGTCTTTCTGTGTCTGACTTGTTTCACTTAAGGTAATGGCCTCAAGTTCTATCCATGTTGCTTTCAAAGGACCTGATTTCATTTTTATAGCTGAATAGATTCCATTGTTTATATATATCACATTTTCTTTATCTGGTTATCCGTTGATGGACACTTAGGCTAGTTCTTTTTTGTGAGTTGGAGTCTCACTCTGTTGCCCAGACTGGAGTGCAATGGCTGTTCCTAGCCACCGCAGCCTCGACCTGCTGGGCTCCGGCGATCCTTCCGCCTCAGCCTTCCAAGTAGCTGGAACTACAGGCGTGCGCTATCATGCCCGGCTAGTTTTTTATTTATTGTAGAGATGAGGTCTCGCCAAGTTGCCCAGGCGGGTCATGAACCCGCGGGCTCAGGCAATCTACCCAGCTCAGCTTCCCAAAGCCACGGGATTACAGGCTGAGCCACCGAGCCTGGCTAGGCTGATTCTATATCTTAGCTATTGTACATAGTTCTGCAGTAAACATACAGGTGCAAGATTATGGAAATTGTTTTACTTTTGTGGCACGTTGTCGAGATTTACTCAAGATCTTTAGATTTGCTTAGCTGCATGTGTATGAACCGTTGTGTTCATTCACAGAAATATGTGCAGAAAGTCCTGCATTTGTGGATTAAACATCAGATTATACTCTCCTGTGTATATTTTACATTTTTAATATAATGCTAGCAAAGAGTAGCAGTACTAGAATTGCCTTAACCATGACAGTGTGAGATCATGGTCTCAGATGACTGGACTGTAAAGATGAGTTTTAGTCAGAAGGCTGAGGCGGAAGTATTGCCGGAGCTCAGCAGGTCGAGGCTGCGGTGGCCGGGAGCGGCCACTGCACTCCAGTCTGGGCGACAAAGTGAGACTGTAACTCAAAAAAAAAAAAAGATGACTTAGTACTTAACATTATGAAGTTACAAGGACAAATACAGAAATCAAGGAAACACATTCTCAGTGTCACAGTCAATTAAAATACTAGCCCACACTCCCTTAGTTGTGGCGTGGTATATTGGAAAAGAAACCTATTTCCGGTTCCTCTAACACTTTCTCAGACAGCTACATCAGAATCATGCAAGATGCATTTTTTTTTTTTGAGTTGGAGTCTCACTCCATTGCCCAGGCTGGAGTGCAGTGGCACTCTTACAGCCAGCCACCCCAGCATCAACCTGCTGGGCTCTGGCGATCCTTCTGCCTCAGCCTTCCAAATAGCCAGAACTACAGGCATGCACTACCATGCCTGGCTAATTTTTTGATTTATTGTAGAGCTGAGGTCGCATCAAGTTGCCCAGGCTGTTCTGGAACCCTTGGGCTCAGGCAGTCCCCTCACCTCAGCATCCCAAAGTGCTGGGATTCAGGCTTGAACCACCACACCTGGCCTACAAGATGCATATTAATGGAGATTCCTGGTCTCCTGACCAGACTTAGTGAGTTAGAAAAAAGACCTTTGAGCAGTCAGAATAACACAAAGCATATGACCTCAACTTCATTTTTTTTATTCAAAAAAAGGACCCTCACTCAAGCAAATATTTGTGTGCTTTGTTATCTTCTAACATACAGAGAGAGCACTAAGGTACCTTCCAATTCCAAACTTCAATGGTGTGCGACTCTTTGGTCAGCCCTAATCATGAACTACCATCAGATACCAAATTGCACTTAGCCTTACATTGTATCTGCAGTGAAGCCAGGAAAGTTGGTAAGAAGAGGGCTCCCCCCCCCAAAAAAAAAGAAAAGAAGAGGGCTTCTTAAAAAAAAAGAAGAGAGCTCCTGATCCTAGAGAGCAAATCATAGTCCCAAGAAGCAAAAGAGTGATAAGCCTCCTAAAATGTGCCAAAGATGCCAAAGTATCTTTAGAAAAAGAAATCTGCCAATACGAGCATGACAAGTAAAAATAAAAACATACTTACAGGCGAGACCTCATCTCTACAATAAATCAAAAAATCAGCCGGGCATGGTAGCGCATGCCTATAATTCTGGCTACTTGGAAGGCTGAGGCAGAAGGATCACCGGAGCCCAGCAGGTCGAGGCTGCGGTGGCCGGGAGCAGCCACTGCACTCCAGTCTGGGCGACAGAGTGAGACTCCAACTCAAAAAAAAAAAAAAACATACTTACAGAGAATCACTGAAAATCAACCATAAAGGATGAACGTAAGAAGACCACAGGTGATATTGTAGGAAATATTGAAATAAATGCAGAATTCAGTATACAGGGGAATATTTTTAATAAATGCATACAAGTTTATTCATATCTTAAATCAGAATCTCTGAAATGAGTTGACTGCAGAGAAAATACCAGAGGGCAGGGAGAGGATCCCTTTAAATTTTAGATATGCAGAACATATCCATCTTAATGCTCATAGAAAAAAAAGAATATGTTTACTTCTTTTTGTAATCAGTTAAATATAGAGATATCTTTATAATTGTATGGTTTTGTTTTTACATTTGCTATCAACAAATTAAACCTGGCCGGGCTCAGTGGCTCAGCCTGTAATCCCAGCACTTTGAGAGGCCGAGGTGAGTGGATTGCCTGAGCCCACGGGTTCGAGACCCGCCTGGGCAACTTGACGAGACCTCATCTCTACAATAAATCAAAATTAGCTGGGTGTCGTAGCGCGTGCCTGTAGTTCCAGCTACTTGGAAGGCTGAGGTGTAAGGATCGCTGGAGCCCAGCGGGTCGAGGCTGCAGTGGCCGGGAGCAGCCACTGCACTCCAATCTAGGTGACAGAGTGAGACTCCAACTCAAAAAAAAAAAATTAAACCTTTTATTGTTATTTAAAATAGGAAAGGTTTAGCTGGACGCAGTGGCTACGCCTGCTTTCTGTGTACTTTCTGTCTCTGAAGATTGGCCTATTTTGAACATTTCATATAAATGGAATCATGCAATATATGGTCTTTTGTAATTGACTTCTTTCACTTAACGTATTATCTTGAAGGCTTTATACTTTTAGAATTTTTTTAAGTCAAACTGAAAGTGTGCCTGTCCAAAATCACTTAAGATACAGATTTCTTTGTAGTTTGACACTCAGAGATAATTAGGTTCAGAAGATCTTTTTCATGTTTCTCCTTTTGACAGATCAGCTTTGAAATTAAAAAGTAATGGAGAAGACTCAAGAAACAGTCCAAAGAATTCTTCTAGAACCTTACAAGTACTTACTTCAGTTACCAGGTAACAGTTCAATTATTATAATACTGTTCATATAGAGTAGTTTTTATACAGTAGTGGTCATTCAAATGTTAAATAGAAAAGGTTAGACTTGTTAGTTCTTGAGATTTTCTGTTTAAGATGATGCATATTAAAAAATGGTAAATAGGACTTTTTGATTTTTCATTCTTAAAAGGTCATTTCTGCCAGGCACTGTGGTGTATGTCTATAGTCTCATCTACTTGGGAGACTGAAGCAAGAGGATGGCTTCAGTCTGGGAATTTAAGACTGTCATGTCCCATGATCATGCCTGTGAATAGATACTGCCTATCACCTGGGGCAAAATAGCAAAACCTCATCTCTTTTTTTAAAAAAAGATAATTTTTAAAGGCACCCTTTAAAAAATATCCAGTTCCAGCCAAGCGCAGTGCTTCACTCTTGTAATTCAGCACTTTGGAAAGCTGAAGAGAGGATTGCGAGAGCCCAGGAGTTTGAGACCAGCCTGGGCAACCTGGCAATACCTCATCTCTACAATAAATCAAAAAATTAGCTGGGTATGGGGGTGCATGCCTGTAGTTCCGGCTACTCGGAAGACTGAGGCAGAAGGATCGCCGGAACCCAGCAGGTCAAGGCTGCGGTGGCCGGGAGTGGCCACCGCACTCC